TAGGCATGAGCATGGTATATAGTAGCTACATACGGGACCACAAGATGGCACCTATGCATTCCAGTGGAGTTTCTTGCCTGGTGCGTACACCAAAAAAAGTTCCTAGCTTCGATGTTTATTTCCACAGTATGTGGCCCGCGGAATACGCACAGTAGTGTTTCTCCTACTGGGCCCGCCACGAGTTCTTGCTCTGCTTGTAGACTTTACATTGCACGTCTGTCCGTCCTAGAAGAGGGATCCCTCCTCAGTTGCTCTTCCTGAGGTTTCTACAATTTTTTTCCCCCGTTAAAGGGTTTTTTTGGTGGGAATTTTTCCTTATCTGCTGTGAGAGTCCAAAGGACAGAAGGAAAATTGGAAGCAAGGTTGAGCTGCTTTCCTGGGAGTTTGGTGAGCACCTGTTTGCATACAAGTTTACCACATCAGTTTGAAAGGTGATAATAATATCATATGCAACTTTGTAGGCATATGACCACACATAATCTGAGGGGACCCCTCCATTATTGACCCAATCAAACAAAATGGGGGCACTAGAGAGCTAATTTCTTATCTAGGCCTAACCGCCATATGGATTTTTACTAAACTTGGTAGATATGTAGAACAGGACGCCTCAAGGTGACTGGAGAAATTTAACTCTAATTGGCAACTGGGTGGCGCTATAATAACAGAAAAATGCTTAAAAATGGCTAAAATGCGACCGATAGTTGTGGCTCCCCCTGTGGCCAAATGTTGCTTTTTTCTTTCTAATTTTTGGCATGACTAAGTCATGGTATGGTATGCTGTACATAATCACGGAAATTGTCAGTGTGTCATTCTGTCTGTCCCATGTTTTTCTACTCACTGACGTGGTCAATCTATGTGAAACTGCACATAGGCATTGAGGATTGGCAAAGGTAGAAGGTAACAAAGCTACCAATGGGTATGGACTAGTGAATATAGAATAAAGAAAGTTTTCATGATTAAATTTACACTGAGACTGCATTTGTGGCTAATTGTGTAAGTGAAAAACACCTAAGTGTTGAAAGAATAAGCTACATTTCCAAACTGCTCCTCCTGTGTGTGTGTTGCACAGGAATGAGAGTCAAGGATGACATGCTCAATTTGATGGCTCTACGCTATGGTGCCTCTTCTGGCCACATGACGCTGGAGAGCTTCATCAGTCTCATGCTTCGCTTGGGCTGCATGTACAGTAAGTGAAGTCAAATGAAACAAATGGTGACAATAGATAAGACATAAGAAGTTATTGTCTACCACTCTTGCCTTATAAATATGTTAAAATACACATTCGTTCCCAGTTAGTGAGTCTGGTCTAGTTGCAATTTATAACACTTTTGGCTTAAAGTGATGCAATTTATTTTATTTTTGTGTGATGCCCAACAGAAATCTTCCAACAGCTGTCTGATGGGAAAGCCATGAATCTCAAAGAGTCAGAGGTAATAATACATATTCTTCTTGTCAGAAGTCATAGATATAATGCCACAGTGTAACTTAATGATACATTTTCAAGGATAAAAAATGCACTTTTGTGTACGTGTTGCATTAATAACCTGTCTCTTTATTTTCAGTGGATGTACGTTTCAATGTACACTTAACCCAAAAAGGAAGATGGACAGCGCAATTCATAAGGACAAAACGGGTAGATGTTTCAAACGAGTGTTTTCTTTTCATTTTAAAATCTGCATCAATAGATAAAAGCTGTGTTTTTCTATGAATAATTCATTACACAATATGAACTGTAACTAAAAGGTTCTCTATTTTCACTACTATACTTCTATTGCAGTAAAATACACATTAAAGTGAAAACATAACCAATCCTTTGTAGACATGTTGATAGGCTCGATATGGAATTGCATTATTTTAAAATGATAGACTGAGTTACTGCACATTTTTTGGTATTATTTGTAGACTGTGACTTTTCACCCACAACAAATTTCAGATTTCAGGATATGAAATGCAGTCACTTTAACTGCAAAAACCATGTTGACCATTTTCTATAACTTTTTCAAAAATAATAATAAAAAGATCTGACCTGTGAGTACGAGCGTGTGATTTGGGCTGGGCTCCTCTATTGTCTGTCAACCACTTGCTCTCTGCAAATTTCAATCCGTACAAATAGTTTACTATCGACCATTGATTTTATCACAGAGGAACATTTTGATTGTTACATATGTATAACTGCAAGAAGAAACAAAGATATTTCTTCTTTTCTATTTGGAAATGAAAAAAAATGTGCACTCAAATGTAGCATTAATGACACACCATGCATAACCACTCTGTGCCATGTATAATTCAAGGGTGCGTTCCGAATTGCATACGTTTTGTTTATAATTTTAGTAGGTACTGCACCACCCTTAAAAAGTACGTAATATTGCATGCAGTATGGACACAACTGGAACATACTACTGTCTCATAACATTACGCCCTGAACTTTGACCCTCTTGTTTTTATATCGTTACCTTGGAGATAAAAGAAACACAACATACTGAGCTTGCCAGAAACGGAGATCAACCCAGGAAGCTCTGCTGTTGCTACTTTGCAATGAATGTAGTTTGACTTTAAAGTTGTGCACAGACTGTACATTCTAACATATTATATTTGCAACAGTGAAATTACATCTACAGTTCTCTGTTATTTTTATTTTTACACCTACGCCCTATTGTTGTTTGCAATATTAGTACTATGGGCATTGGAATGCACAGGAAGTTGGTATGAAGACTTTGCCACTCACATGTTCACAGATTAGTATTGCACTTCTGCCATCTTGTGGCTGCAAACAATATCAACAGCAATGGGAGGCTTTTACCTGACACTCACTGCAAAGAACTGAAATACATATAGCAGGTGAGCCTTTGTGGGCTTAGTTTGTTAATATGCTGTTTCTGCCTGACCAGCTGACTCACTCATATAAATCTATAGACTAAGATAGTGACGAGGTTCTGTATTAACAAGGTTGTAAAACAGGAAATGATTGACGAGCTTGCTTAACCCTTTGTCACCTGTTAATAAGACAACATGTTGATACAAAACTAGAACACACATTTCTTGGATAAACATGAGACAAATTTGATTTAAAATATGGCATTCAATAATTGTTCAGAAGTTACATTTGTACATTAATGCCACTACTTTAAATACTGTGAGAACATCGCACAATCTGTCAGCTTCCCTTTGAATTTCATTTTGAGAATAAAGTATTACTTTTGGCCATCCAGAGAGGTCGCAGTGATTTTAATTAAAGGTTGATAACATCCAACTTTAGCAAAGTACCCGCTTCCTCTTGTTTCCATTTTAGCATTTTAGCCTGCATAGTTCATGGTCTGATAAGTGTTTGTGTTTTCAAATGGTTTTTATCTTTAACGTGACTTTTCTGTCCGATGATTGATCACACCCTGTCCAAACCTTTTATGTGCCCCAAGCTCCCACAAGTGTCATCAAGCATGAAAATACATCCAGCCTCCTGCACACTACACCTAATAAAATTTTGCTCTCTGCATCTTAATTTACAAGTAGAATCACTGCCTTGAGGTTGTATGCCTCCGCAGACCAGTCAAGTTGCAGTTTACATCCAATGTCTGTCCACACTCATATGTAGCCATGACAGCAGACAATGACCTGAATACGGATTCCTGGAAATTCTAAAAACATGGATGCTTCACACACATCTCTAACCCAGCAGCACATACGATCTACACAATCAGCATAGTTTGGAGGATTATCACCAATTCAGTATCTGACCAAATGTCTCCCCTTCTGTTCCTGAGATAAGGTGTTGAGTAAAGGCCAGAAAAGTGTTTTTACAGAACATTATGATGTCACAATGAAGCTGACCTTTGACCTTTTAGATATAAAAAGTCATCACTTCGTTCTATTATTCTATTAGACATTTGTGTAAAATCTTTGGGGAAAGAAGTCTTGAGTTATGACCAGAAACATATTTTGTGAGGTCACAGCGACCTTGACCTTTAACCACCAAATGCTAATGAGTTCATTCTTGAGTCCAGTTGGATATTCGTGCCAAATCAGAAGAAATTTCCTGAGGACCTTCTTGTGATATTGCATTCATGCGAATGAGATGGACACGAGATCACAGTGACCTTTGACCACAAAATTCTAATTAGTTATTTTTTGAGTCCAAGTGGACGTTTGTGCCAAATTTGAAGAAATTTCCTAAAGGCTTTTTTGAGATATTGTGTTCATGAGAATGGGATGCATGGACAACCCATAAGGCTGCTTCACACAGTGCATGGCAGAGTTTAATGAAGAAAATTAATGATACCTTTTTTTATTATTATTTTGCACTGTATATTGGTGAAAAAGTTTGCATGTTCTCCCTGTGTTTGCAAGGGCTTTATTCTCTAAAGACACCCAGGTCGGGTGAGCTGGAACTTCTGTATTGACCATGAATGACATTGTGTACAGTACAATGAATGTCTGTCTGCCAACACCATGTTAGTGCTGTGACAGGCCAGTAATAACACCTGTGAGTGTACCCTGCCTGTTACATGATGCATGCTTGAATACACACCTTCCATCTATCATCACCAGTGGGATAAGGTACACAAAACTAATGGATCTTCATATATAAGGGTGACATTTTTTGACTATCTTGAGTTAAATACACATTGCTGGCCTCATGAAATAGTGGCTCTGCCACTGCGAGGCACAGACAGCCCTGGGAGATGAGCACTGCTTTTACAAGCACAGACAAGCACAGATGTGGCAGATACATATTGCCAGCAGCCAATGTTGCTCGCAAGACAGTTTTATGTCTCAACTACTACTGTGAAAATAAAAGTCAAGAGGTTTTGAACAAGTCAGGGCAGGGCAGCATGAACTGATGAATGAAATGGAAGCTACTTGTTTTCTTTCATGCAGAGACAATGCTCTTATATAATCTCTCTCCCTCCCTCTGCCTCCACCTACCTGTTCGTCTATTATCTACCCACATGTCCGCCCACATACTGTATGCAGCTCTGGCAACTAAAATCTTATGTTACATTACGTGCGGTAGGTTAAGTCTCATGTTCCTTTAAGAAATGCCACCACAGGTGGAGTTTCATAAAGAAACACCCCATAATGATAGCAGTACCCTGAGGCGTTTGCAGGCCAAATAAGAACTGAAGCTTTCTCTCTAGTGCTTGTTGTTCCACCCAGACTTGGCACTTTCCCTTTCTGGCTGGTGAGGTAAGATTAAGATATTCATAGACAAACAACATTTTAAACAGCTTGATTTACACTTTTCACATACAGTTTAGCAATTTGTGGTATTGTGTTGTCGATGTTGTTACTTTTGAGACACTAAAATGACTGCCTGTGCAACGTAATTTAAGAGTCATAACTGATCACAAAATGGGGCAGATGTGTGGGAGGTCTTTTTTTTTACACTTTTTGTTACTTCTTATTGCAATGGTTTATTTTGGTGTGCAAAAGAAAAAGAAAAAAACCTTAAAATTAAAATACATTGAAAAAAATTATTAGACTTTTGGCTTTTTTTCCATTTTTTTAAATGAGTTGGATTGAAAAATCTAATATTTGTTCTTTGCACACAAAACGCTTATCTCAATTCTTATTCACTAATTTGTTGAAATCCGCATCAGTGAGCACTTTGCCAATGTAATTCATAATTCATCCATCTGACGGGTGTGACATATGAAAAACTAATTAAAGAGCATCATTACTGCACAGGTGTGGCTTGGGATGGTCACAATAAAAGGCCACTCTTTAATGTGCACTGTGATCCAAAACACAATGCCACAAAGGTCACAAGTTTTGAGAAAGCATGCCATTTGCATGCTGACTGCTGAAATTTCCACCAGGGATGTTGCATGTGGACTGAATGTTCACTTCAGCATCTTCACCTGCAAGACCATTTGAGACCAGCCAACCAGGCAGCTAAACCAAAGAATTTCTGCACAAACTATCAGAAACAGTCTCAGGGAAGCTTATCTCGGTGGCTGGTCTCAGACATTGTTGTAAGTGAAGATGCAAGATGTGGAGGTCCTGAGCTGGTGTGGTTACATGTGGTCTGCAGTTGTAAGGCTGGTTGGACTTACTGTCCATTTCATGGAAACAACATTGAAGCAGGTTGATAGTAGTGAAATGAAAATTCAGTTCATGTGCAACAGCTCTGGTGGACATTCGTGCACTCAACATGCCAACGGCACACTCCCTCAAAAGTTGTGACATCTGTGGCATTGTGTTGTGTGATCAAACTGCAGATTCTAGAGTGGCTTTTATGGTTACCTGTGCAATAACATATGCTGCTTATTTAGCATTTTGATATGCCACCACTGTCGGGCGGATTAATTATGGATTAGATGATGGCATTTTGTGTGCATAGAAAAAAGTCTTAGATCTTTAATTTGAACTTGTGAAAAATGGGAGCAAAAAAGTGTTGAACTTATATTTTTGTTCAGTGTAGAATGTGAAAAATAAAAGCCTCAGTGTGGTATGTTTTACTGTACCTGCAGAGTTAATGCATGAATTTCACCTCTTCTTGGACTTGCGTGTGATGGCTTTTAAATGCAGGCTTTCATGTGCAGCTAATGTCTCCATGAGCCTGTTTATACCTGGTATTAACATGTGATTTTATGATCTAAACACAAGTGGAAAGCCAACACATCAGCGTTCATACCTGTGTCTATCATGCATCTGCAGCTAACCACTTGTGTTGGGATTTTATTGCATGCCTACATCACTTACCCTAGAAGGTCTAAGGACCCCATGCATAGTTATTTTATTAACAGTCTCCCCAGTTGCTTACTTGCATGCTCACTAATCATGTCAGCAGCTGTGTCCATACAGCTAGACATATCGCTGTTGGCAGAATTCAACACGTCCCCTTCCAAAAGGCAAAATGATGGACTGTCACAAAACACTTTGTCAAACTAGTTGTAAAATGGACTAGTTAATAAGCGTTAGTGCGCTGTCACCAAAACAACCACCACGTCCTACACCGATGATGTAGGCCTTGCTGGGGACGCATTAGGACACATGCCTTTACACTGCAAAATATATGTGGTCAAATCAAGGAGCAACCTCTGGGGCTGAAAAATGAAGCCAACACAGAAATGCAAAAAAACTGCAGTTCCTCTAATGGCCACTTGTGGCTGACTTCAAGAGCAAGTCAATCCCCATAGGCCTTCATGTTAAAATGCTCAACTTTACAGCTGAAATAAACATGTTTACAGCCTGGTGCAACAAAAGGTTGTGATCGGGATAGTGCCAGGAAAAGAGGTTGTTTTTACTAAGACATTGCTGTGTTTCCTGCTGGGATTGTGCCACCAAAAGTGGGTATTGTAAGCCAAAACAGTAACAGTAACCAAGTGGTTTTGTGCCTAAACTAAACAACAAAAAGTTACAACCTATCCACAACACAGTAACATACTATTGTAATGTATCACTGGTTTGCAGAAATGAGAATATTTTGGGTTGAAGAAACCAATGTCTCCCAACTCCGTGCTTCTGGTTTTCGAAGTATATGTTGTGGACAAGATGGTGAAGGTGTTTGATACCTATTTCTACTCATATGAAACAGTGAAGAGAAGTGCTGATAGTCAGGATAGTGCCAAATAGGAGTGTATTTACAGTATTTTTACAGCAGGGATGCTGTTTGATGGTTGTGTTGAGGAAAGGTAAATCTGAATGTGAGATGTTTTGAGAATATAGTTGTTCCAAGTCTATCCATGGAATATTGTGGTTGGTTTGATAGATCCATTTAGTGAGTTTGACAGGTAATAGAAGAAGAAGTTTAGAGCATCTAGCCCACCTTGCACTTTGCCTTTTGTGGAGTGGATAGTTTGATTCTTACTTTTTTATTTTTCCTGTAATTGGGGAGTCAGTAGAATTAAACCTCTCCTCTGTTAGTGAGACATGCAGTATTGAAAAGTGGTTAATTTTTTTCTATCTTCTTTTTCTGGACAGAGTTCACACACTGCAACAATGCCTGCACCGGGTGTGTGTATGAACATCGTCAATGCCCGTCATATGAAAGACGGCCAAGGGACCCGCGACAACCCTGAGCGGTTTCTCAACCAAGACTTTGAGCAGCTGAAACAGTACTGTCTCTTCAAACGGCTGAGGTACATTGACGACATGTTCCCCCCTGACAGAAGGTCCATTGGTGAAGGGATACTGAGTCCTTCTGACCTGAAGCAAGTGGTGTGGCTGAGACCAGCAGTGAGTGTTTTTGCTTTTGATCCTTTATGATTCTAAATGTTTATGGACAAGCAAGCATCTATATTTAGCAACTGAGACAATAATGTGTCTCTTTTGCTAAATCTTCAACTTTGTTCATCTGTCACTTGTATAACTTTGATCCGTGTTGATGTTGGGCAAGTAGGTACATTTATCTTGTGTTAGCTCTTATGTTAGCAGCTGCTTCCTGGGTCCTGTCACACCAAGCCGATAGTCAGCCGTTGGTCAAGGTCGGGTTGTCGGTAATTTTTGTAGTGTGTCCTGCACTTTTGGCACTAGTCGGCCCTTGTTGGCTTTTCGGATTATTCAGCATGTTGAATTGGTGGCGGAGTTTGTCGGTGACCTAATTCATACTGATTAGCAGTTCAGCTTAGTGCACATGAAGAAAAATGAAAATGAAGAAAGCAAACAAATGCCATAAGTCAAGAGGGTGTTAGGTACGTACCTAATGTACCTAATGACAAACCTTTTACATCAGGTATGGTTCATTTTTTAGTGACTGAGCTCTTGAGCAGAAACACTATGTAACTGTTTGTGTTATTGTTTATTAGCATACAAATATCCTTTGTTCTTTTATTACTGGGTCGTGTTGTTAATATGCTAACTAACTAACTAGCATCTTGAATCCATCCTGTTGGTCTTCCAGTTTTTGAATGAGGATCACAGACTTCTGCCCCCTGCTGGTATAGAGAATTATTGTGTTGTCAATATTTCCTGTCTTTCAGAAAATTGTTCCCAATCCATATTTTGAAGTTGATGGGATCTCCAGGTTTGACTTTGGTCAAGGCATGGTTGGTAAGAAAACTGCATCATTCATAATAATCCATAAATTGTTTGTCCCTTAATGGAATTTTGAGATGCAAGTGCAGATGACTGGCAGAAAACAGACTACAGACGGGCAGAGAAGATATTGTAACCATGTGTTTTCTGCACTGTTTTGATCAGGTAACTGCTGGTTTCTTGCATCTATCGGAGCTCTAACTTTCCAGACTGACATCCTTCAGCAAGTTGTTCCTCTCGATCAAAAATTTGATGAGAACTACTGCGGGCTGTTCCACTTCAGGGTAAACCAACAATCATCAGCAGCAGTGTTTGTCTAAAAGTAGGCTAGGTTCTGCTAAATGGTACATATCTTATGTTGCTACAAAAGATATTCTCTCTTCTCTCAACTACCCAGTTCTGGAGATTTGGAAGCTGGGTGGATGTTGTCATTGATGACAAGCTACCAACAGTTGATGGCAGACTTATCTTTGTTAGGTCCAAAAACCCAGCTGAGTTCTGGCCTGCTCTGCTGGAGAAAGCCTATGCCAAGTATGAAAAAACAATGTTTTGTTTCTCAGTCATAACATGCATTTTCTCAGAGTGATATCTGTCTTATTTTTGGGAGAATCCTTGTAAGTAATATCACACCCACTTGTATCAGAGTGTGTGGTTCCTATGCGGACATGAGTGCTGGAACTCCTGCTGAGGCTTTGACGGACTTCACTGGTGGTGTTCACATGTGTATCGATCTGACAAACCCTCCCCCAGACCTGTGGGAACTGATGTTTAGAGCTGGCAAATCCAAGTCACTGATGGGCTGTGGTACACCACAGGGGGTAAGAACAAATATACCACACAAACCAACACTGGCTGGTTGTTCTTGCTTTTATGTGCTTAAACTTTTTGAAATGTCCACATGTCCAAATGTCCCAAGTCAGGGCCCATTTCATAAAAGCACCTTAAGGAAAAGATGATCTTATGTATGTAGCTACATAGCCAATATTAAGAAAGATAGTTTAAACGAGCCAAATCAGGCTCAGTCTTTGTTTTTTGACAGATGGGTGACCTTTCTGGCTGCCAGTTTTCATTTGTCATAGCAGCAAACTAAAACATTATGATGACATGGTTCCATGAACAGGAGCTGTGTCAGTAACTCCCTGTTTACACATGCAAATGGACTGAAAGACTGGAGAAGTGCCAGGATGTCAGGCTGTCAAGTCTCAATGAATCAGGGATATGACATGCTGAGAATATTTCAGCTGTAGGGAAATGTGATGCTCTTGGAGATTGGAAAAGGAAAAGGAGATTAAAACAAACCTGATCATGCCCATTAATGACTTCCAAATTTCCATTCAAAGAGTATTTTAACAACACCTAAAACTACTGGTGAGCAACAGACTCACCAGAGCCAAGCTGGGGCATCCAGCGGCTTTTAAATCTGTATGTATTAAGTGGGCGTAAACCATAGCAAGTCAATTTACATTATGCCTGGGCAGTGGCACACTTAAATAGCATGTAACAAATATTAATCATTAATTATCATTAATTGTATGGCAAGTATGACAAGGGAAAATGATTGCTATACAGTACAGCTTTATTGTGCTAGGAAAGCAAAGGTCACAGTAATTTTTTTTTTTTTTTTTTGGATGATAAAACAATGAGAATACTCTGGAATTATAATAAAAAGTAGAATTAAAACAATTAGGTTTTTAGGGACCTGTTATCAGTCCCTTCCATGTTAGATGTTGAAATGATGTGGTGGAAGGGTGCGGTCAGGGTTTTGAGTGGGTGCACTCTAATTAGACTTGAAAGCAACTGAAGCGGTTGTCACATATAATATCCAATTTATTTTGAATGAGTCTCCACATAATTCTCACATTTCATTGGGCTCATTTCACAAAGTGTTTTGTAGGCGTGCTGATGTAATGAAGTTAGCAGATCCGTAAAACATTAATGGCAAAGAAGGGAACAAAATATGGATCATGATTTAAGGCTGAAAATGTCATGTTCTTAGAGGGTCAACATGCTAGGCCAGATGACTGAACAGCTCTTTGCTACTATGACTTATGTAAATTTCTAAGCTTACCTATCTGTCTAAATCATAAGTGTTTTTGGTAGCATCAGTGTTTTAATATGACTTGTTTAGTCCACGCTAATGCTTAGAATTTTAGCAAAATTTTGAATTTTATGTTTTGGCTTCAACTGTTGCCAGTTTAGTGTTTAAGGAGGTAAACAATCAAATGTTGGTCTTCTGTTAGGTTAATTTATTATGTGTGTAGAAAAAGGTTTGTTGCACAAGATCACCTGCAGTTAAAACATATAAAGTATCTTTATCTTGTAGGAGACATCTGCCAACACTGTGTTACCGAATGGATTGGTCCAAGGACATGCCTACACTGTTACAGGTTTGAAACAGGTGAAGAATTCCATTGTTTTAAAGGCATTGTTCATGTAAATTGTTCATATGTTATCTTGCAAAAATGCACACACAACAGTTTGTATGATACCCTACGAATTAGTGCCCCATGAATGATGTTACGTCTTTAATATTAAGTTATGTAATTAACGTTAAGTTCTGTAGGTTGTGTTTAACCAAATAAAGTTACTGTAGTTAGGTTTAGGAAAAGAATCATCGTGAGGATGTATCTTAAAATTCACTCATTAAAGTTCACTGAAAGTTTAGATAGTTCTGAACACTGGTTCCCTGGTGAAAGCCAAGGGGTAAGGTCTTGAATTCACCCCAACATGCCTCCTGTATGAACGGTATGGGAATCTTCCATCTTTACCCACTTAGCGCATTGGTCACGTGATCGTAGTCTTCCAAAACACGTCAGTTATGCATGAACAATTGGCCTGTTATTATGCAGAATATGTTCAAACGTACAAACAGAGCATGAGAACAGCTCGTATTAGTTCAAATTTCAAGCTCTCCAAATTATCTTATTAATCTTATTTTCTAGAGTTTTAGGGTAGTAAAGACCTTCAGTTGGCCTCTACTGTATAGCTGCATGTATTAAAGAAAGTTTGTGATATGTACTTACTTTTATGGCAAAGTTTTTTTATTTATTTTTTCCTGGTAATTGCTGGTTAGATGATGAGCCGAGGGCAACTGGTGAACCTGGTGCGCCTCTGCAACCCCTGGGGCAGAGGGGAGTGGAAAGGAGACTGGAGTGATGGGTGAGAATGACACTGAGAGCAGTGCCTGTTTCATTGAGTATTTGCTCTGATTTGCTGCCCCACAGAAAACAGATTACTTTCCTATGATAAAATTTGTCCCACACACGCAAGTTTCTTAGGAATGCTTTGTCAACAATTTGTGTCTACTTCTTGAGATAGTCTCTACAGTGGTGTGGTAAATAATAATGTTTGTCATGTATAAGGGAGTTGAGAACATTTTGAACAGAGCCATGAGAAACCTCTCACATGCCTGTGTTGTCTTATTATGTTAACCCTCTTATTCTTTTAAACTGGTTGCGCCAGATAACAGCAAATCAAGACCATGGAAGCCAAGTTTTGGCAGGTCTTTTACATTTATATCTTGGGGGATTTATTAATTGCAATAAAAAAAGAATGTAATTTATTTTATATCAGTCAATGTAAATCTATGCTAGTGTAATATTTCTTTTTATTTCAGCTTAACAAACAATATGTGTCTTATTGTCTTAACTTTAATCATATTTCATGAACCTTACCTAATGATTTCAGGCTGGTGTCTCATGGGTCATCTATGTTATGCTAGATGATTGCTGTGTGCTTTTTAAATTATGATCTCTCCAGTTATGTAAGGTTTTATTTTTGCATGACAGTTCTATGCATGTTATCAACTTTGGAACAACGCCCTGAAAAGTCCTTAGCTGTTTTGCTGTCTTGGCGGTTTGCACAAACTGGTTTTGGCAGTTTTCAGTTTAGGCAAGCCAAGTTGTTCTGAATAGCAAAGGTAGCTCAAAATGATATCTGTCTGCTTTTTCAGTTTCATGCCATGCCATGAAAGCTTAAAGGAGCAATAAGCGAAATTCATCATTTCTAGATTGAAGGAATTAAAAAATTGCTATGTGAAGAACTAGAGGTGTAATTTCATCTGGAGTATAGCATGACCTCACACACCGGGGCTAACCGGTGCTTCCTCCTCAGGCTCCACTTCACTCAGCTGCCCCACAGATCCACTGCCTCTCCCACTTTAACCTCAATAATAATCTGGAGCTAGCTGGGAGCGGCTGGCGAGGGAAACACAGCCAGTTAGCCTCCGCTAGCTTCCCAACTAGCCCCGGCTCTCTGTTTGGATCCAACCGGAGCACCGAGCCCTGGTTTGTTATTCAGGTTAATGTGGGAAGAAGCAGCGGGTTTATCGGGCAGCTGAGTGAAGCTGGGTGAAGTGGAGGCTGCGGAGGAAACACCGGGATGGGTTAATGTCAGGAGCTTGAGTTATTAGCGGCTCGGTCCCAGCAATGGGTCAGGAGTTACGGTTGTGTTAAGTGAGTAAGTTAGCCCGGCAGCCCAGCTAACATTTTCAATTAGCATTGTAAAATGTAGCTTCGCGGGCAGCCTGGCAGGCTACATTTTTGTAATATATTTGCTGAGATGGAGGCGAGGCTCAGTGACTAGAAGAGCTGATAGAAGTGCTCCATAGCTGTAAGTTACTCCGGTAGCCGGTGGCAGCCGACTCGGCTAGTGCTAACACCGGGAGCTAACGCTAACGTTCCTCCTCCTCTTCTCCGTGAGTGAGAGCGATGTTTTAGCCTAGCGGGCAGCTGGCTCGCGGGCTGCCCACTAGGCTAAAACATCGCTTCAGGTTAAAGTGGGAAGAAGCAGCGGGTTTATCGGGCAGCTGAGAGAAGCTGGGTGAAGTGGAGGCTGCGGAGGAAACACCGGGATGGGTTAATGTCCGAAGCTTGAGCAGCCCGCGAGCCAGGCGGGCAGCCTGGCGGACTCTAGCCGCCCCGGCTAGTGCTAACACCGGGAGCTAACGCTAACGTACTCTTCTCTGTGAGTGAGAGCAATGTTTTAGCCTAGCAGGCAGCCCGTGAGCCTGGCGGGCAGCCTGGCAGGCTGCTCAAGCTCCAGACATTAACCCATCCCGGTGTTTCCTCCGCAGCCTCCACTTCATCTAGCTTTACTCAGCTGCCCGATAAACCCGCTGCTTCTTCCCACTTTAACCTGAAGCAATGTTTTAGCCTAGTAGGCAGCCCGCGAGCCAGCTGCCCGTTAGGCTAAAACATCGCTCTCACTCACGGAGAAGAGGAGGAACGTTAGCGTTAGCTCCCGGTGTTAGCACTAGCTGAGTCGGCTTCCACTACTGGAGTAACTTAACAGCTATGGAGCACTTCTACCAGCTCCTCTAGTCACTGAGCCTCGCCTCCATCTCAGCAAATATATTACATTTGTTACAGGTACCATCATTGAAGTAGGCAGGGGAATAGCTAAACACAGCAGAGACCGAGACATTGCTAACTGCTAGACGAGGCGAGTCGGGGGTGGGGGGTGGAGAGCAGAGGTAGAGGGAGGAGTGGCTCATGACACACTTTGTTTTGGTCTACAGGCAGTGCACAACGGCAAACCTAGCGGTGAAACAATTTTGCTTATTGCTCCTTTAAGTTAGTGAGCAGTTACATGGACTAATCTGCCCAGTACAACAACAATATGATTTCTTGATCACCCAGTAGCTCTAATGGGCAGGAGTTAATTGTCTTACTAAAGGCACTCAAAACAGTGCTCCATTGATTTAATATTGCACTTCCATAGGGGTTTCCCTAAAGATGCATGTAAAAAAAGTCTTTAAGCTGGGAAATCCTGACTATTAGTGCCTAGTATGCTCTCATAACACTGGATTCTACATTTTCCTTAAAGTAACTTAAAGAAGCAACAGATAGGATTCTTTTTTTTTTTAGCTTGGCGCCACCTAGCGTCAGTGGTGTTGCATAGCACTGTCTATTAGACTCTCTAAATTAAATAAAATGTAGGCTGTAAAGACAGCCACCAGTATACCTCTGTAGAATGAGAGGGTGTGTGGACACTATACTAAATAAATGAGTAAAGAAACCAAGCAACAATTATCAGATTTATCTGAAGAAAAAACAAATAGTAATGCAGATAATTATACCAGAATGCACAGTACCAGTACAAACAACTCACAGTAAATTATAACAATATGTACAGTATCAGTACAAACAACAGTAGACAAAGTGGAATTATACCAATATGCACATGTTATGTGATTCTAGAATAAACGGTACCGTATGGAAACGATGCGGCTGGTTGGAGCTCAAATTGAATGGGGAAAAAGTCCAGTGTTCATTTAGCTGGGCGTAACTTAGCTGGACGATGTCTGTCGATAGCTGCCTCCGTGAGAAGAGAGCAGAAGGAAGCGAGGGGGGTACCACTGTCCGAGGGCTGCCGTAGAATGGCAACAAGGATGTCAGCCGACCAACACTTGCTACCCGGTCCCTGGTTGCGGCGATTTGCGATGCTGGCCAGCAAGGAATTAACTAGCAGCCAGTACAGTACAGTCCTCTCTCAGCTAACATTTAGCCGTGTTACTTACTGATCCATTAGAAAGAAAGCTAGCTGGACATTGGTTTTGAAGCCTCTTTGGTCACGTAGCTCCCTCCATCTCTTGAACACCTGACTGAGGTTTACTCTTGTTTTTCCTCTTCTTTTATCACTCTCCTTTTTGCTCTTCTTTGCCTCCTCAGACAGAGGAGCTTGTTTTCTTTTGCTAGGCTGTTTTTCACTTGTCTCCAAACTTTGTCTGTCTGCCATTGTGCTCCTGACTCAACTATCTCATGCCCAACTCCTCATAAGGACCAGCTCCAGTCCCTGATTGGCTGACCAACCAATTTCGCAATACATGACACGTTTCCTGCCATAAAGCAGATTTTTTCCGCGAAATTTGGGCACTGGTGGCAGAAGCTTATTACAAAGATTGCAAAGCCACTAAGTAACCTATGTAAATGCTGATAGTCTGATTTTACTGTGGCCACTACCCTGTGCAACCCAAATTATTTTCATAATGATATATTTAGGAAAAGATGCTATCTGTTGCCTCTTTAACTGTTTCTTCTTGTGAAACCCTTCCCACCTTTTCAAGCTCTATGTCACAGGTTTATAAGTCAGGTTTTACGCTCCTAAAAATGTCTAGTCTTTAAGGTCCAAGCTAAAAATGCCTTTCCTCCTCTAAAGCTACCACATTAATGCCAGGATTCTGATGAGAGTCAAAAACAACCTGGCCCTGCTCCTGGCCCTGAGCTTGGGCTTACTATTGGAAACGGTACTTGCCTCTTAATGTTAGAACAGTTTGTAACACACTGCCTCTCCTCTTTCTTTACTGAAAAATGTGTACATAAAGGTCACCTTTATGGCAAACTGTGAGTCCTGAGGATCGTGAGATGTGCCTTGCAGTGGCTGACGATGGGGAGTTTTGGTAAGCAAGCCGAAATCAAAATTTTACAAAGTTAACAGACTGCTATGAAAAAAAAATTGGGAGCAAAATGTTTTGGACATATTCTTAAAAATACAGAGTAACAACTACAATTTTGTTTTCTCAACAACTTTTGTGTAATTTCAAAATCACAGTTGTACAAAAAGTACAGAATAAGTGGTACATATAATCACAAACAGTATATATACATATTGTTTGATTAAGGTCATATTTCTATGGTGGATAAGAAAGGCATCATCATATATTCATGGTGTATATTATAATTTAGTGTAATTACTTAATTGTAATTAAAGCCACTACAAGAAACTTTTAACTGGATATGCAAAAGTCTCTTGTTTCTGCTGATGTCTGTGCGTGACCTACAACAGCAAATGAGACCATCGGTGTGAAGACAAGCTATTTCTATATAGTGTATATCCATACCTTTAGAAAACTGTGTCCGGGTCCGCCGCAGGTCGCTTCCAGGACGAAACGATTTACGGCACTCAGACGGCACACGTCATCTTACCTAGCTGCTTACATTTAGTGACTCTTATAAATAGTCGCTATTCCTCCTCCTCGACCCGACGTCCGCAGGGAGTTAAAATAGCAGCAATCATCGGGTAAAAGTTCTGTGAAAGCACTGGACTCACCAACTGTCAGCCACGTCTCAGTCACACAGAGAAAATCCAATCCTCGGGAAGTCAGGAAATCCTTCAGGATAAACGTTTTGTTCGCTAGCGATCTAGCATTTACCAGCCCAATCCTG